AGTGTAATCGTGGTTCGGAAAAAGGCAAATTTTCGAGAATGACACTTTTATTGCCGGGCCCTAGTAACGAAAAAGAGGATAAATCTTGTTCCTATATATAGTAAGTTGTGTGGTAAAAATCCACGTTACGTTAGTCATTTATACCAAAAAATTGATTCAAGGCAAAATATCTGTCTGTCCGTCCTTAGTCAATTCTAGCGCCTCAGTCGATTTTCTTTCAAACTGTTATTCCAATATAAATTTAAAAGAACACGCCCTCTGAATTTGAAGCGATTTTTTTATTTGAGAGCTGTTTTTATAGAGCCTCGAAATTTTCTCAAAAATGGCTCAACTTTTTTTATTAAACTTTGTCCTGGGAGAGGGTAAACTACGCTTAAGAGAATGGTGTAGGTCTACATATGTTATTTTTGAAATCCCTGATTTTTCGAAAATTGCAAAAGTTCAATTTTTTCGGAGTCTTCCTAAAACTAGAATATTGAAGATAGATTTTTTTCTCAATGATATCTGTTCTATAAATACATATCATGAAATAAGATCATGTACAATTTTTCGAAAATATATATTTTAAACAATTGTCAATTTAATGTTTTAAACAATTGCTTTCTTTAAATATTCTCGTCGTAGGAATACGCAAGTTGGCGATAATTTCTGGAAATGACATTGTTCCTTGATTACTCTTAAGATGTCGCCCCTATCTCTATTTGTAATGCGTGTCGACTGTTTGATTTGCAGGTGCCCTTTGCCAGCTCCCAGGCACTTGGTTGTGGTCAAGCAAATTCCCATCTAAGTGTAATGCCAGGCAACTCTCCAAATAGGTAATTTATTTAATGTACATATGGAGGTCTGAGGCAAGAGAGCCATAGAAAACCTTAGTATTTTAAGGGTTCAAATGCATTGCGAAATTGTAGTTCACTAAATCGATAGTTGTGGTGTGGAATGCATAGGAAATCAAATACATTCATATGAAAATTAACATTTTCGAAGTCAAAAATCCCTCTATATTTATCTTTTTTATTCACGTTTTCATACAAGCAATGACAGCTCGATTCCAAACCGCACACGAGGTTATATTCTTTGTCAGAAATGCTCTCTTCTATTACAATCATATTTAGTGACTATTACATTGCACTATTATTCGCAAATTCATGTGTTTATGGACACTGGCTGATTATAAGGCATGTAAAAATAAGCCCTAGAAAATGAGTTTAAAATTTTCCGATAAATTAAATATCCGTTAAGACCAAAGATCCGACATAGTGTTCGTTTTTACTTCAATATTGCTGTTGACAAAGAAATTACTGCCATCTCTTTCTCGAGGTCAAAACAAACGTCTTAATTGCTACTCATTGTGTAACAGAGATTCGGTAAACTATCATTGAAATAACTACAAAAAATGAATAACTACAAGTCAACGAAATGGTCGTAAAACTGCAAAATTCATGTGCTTTTTGGAGGGGTAGAATATCTTGAATTACGACCGTTTTACAAATAATTTGAACAGACAGATAATTCATATAAACTTCTCATTTTTGGTCATAACTGAAATATTGTAGACTATAATCAAATACGTCAATTTTTTAATTTTTGAAGATTGTAGTACAATGTAAAAACAATATATATATATATATATATATATATATATATATATATATATATATTATGTATCTCTCTCACCTGTTACATAACAGGTTTTCCTCTGCCAAAAGTTCTGTAAAACGAACGATGGTTAGTTTTGTTTGTATTGTTTGAATTCATTGATGCTTTTTTTAATGTATGCATAGGTTTCGAAGACAACTGTTCCCATAACACAAGAAAAATATTGAAGATAAAAAGAATCAGCGCTCGCCAGGAGATTTCTAAAAAGTTTGCTTAAAAATACTTTGCAACGTACAGTGAAAACTAATCCTACTTTGTGTAAACAAACTGCAAATTAATTTAATGTCAATCCTTGTTTTTGAAAAGGTGCAGAATAAAAATTGTATATGTTTTCAAGCAGATGTTTTATTGTCGAAACTCATTAATCTTCTCTTAATATTGCACTCTAAGAAAACAATTTTACACTAGAGAAATTATAGCTACAAAACCCCATAAGTGTGCTACTGTTAGAGAAGAAATTGTCCTTCAGTCCTGCATCGAACAGATTTGTGACGAAAAACACAGTTGGCGGATTATGGCCACTACGTTTTTTTTTTATTTCTGCTGCTTTGGGTACTGTAGCTTTGAAGAACTTCCAGTTTCATCCGCAAGAAGAGCCACTACACTTCCCGTCCTCTGTTAAGCTTATAAAAGTATTTCGTAATAAAAACAACATAGGGGATGCCCTTGATTCTGTTAATCATGGGGATAATTGTGTTTTTCTGGATACTTGGGCATCAATTTTCTTTTTCTTTGGAGAAGCTCAAATATTCCCGCAACTTTCCTCGATTTCGGTCACCTTTCTTGACTTTTCATTATCCGACTTTTGTAATGTTTCTTAACCATTTGTGGTGGGATAGTTGTAAGTGAACTTAAATTATCCAATGATGAGGGAGTCCAGCAAAAGATAGGTTATGGATATTAGCAGAGTTTTCTGTGACAAGCTTGGAAGCTCATCGTCTGCGATAAATATTGGATGTATTGAGTAATCTATCCGTTGTATTATTGTTCAAACATTTATAATATCTAATTTTCCATAATATTTCTTGAGTACAAAAACGTGATGGATTAGACTGGATGTAATTTGTACGAGAAAATGACGCATGCTTCATTTTACAGTACATATTTCATCCAGATTGTCTCCCGCTGTCTTAGTGTCAGAACTTTAACTGGTTTGCTATGCGTGTGGTGCGGTTTGTTCATGTTCAGTTTCGAGAGCTTGCTAATGTGCTGAATTGTAATGTAAAGTGATTATGTAGTGAGAAATAAAGCGTGTACTGTGTTCTAATGTCCAATTCCATGCTCCAGTAATAAAATAAACTCACATTATTTACTGTAAATGCAACGACCTATAATATACTGCATAGAGTGGCTCTCCATGTAGATTCAGCGCTCTTGGTGGAGGCTCGTCGAACTAGTGACCGCCATGTTTTTTGAAGTCAAAACATTCGAGTGGCGGTGTAAGCGTCCGTAACTAGCACCAAACGTAATGCTATACTGCGATCATCACAACTCTGCCCCTGGCAGGTATCATCTGTTGACAGTTTCATCCAATCGGAAGCTTTAACTTCACCATAGTGACGTCACTATTGTGACGTTCAAGCTCCCGATTGGATGAAACCATGAACAGCTGAGACCTGCCACGGATAGAGTTGCATAAATCGCAGTAGATAATACTTTGTTTTCCAGTAGACGCTGCTTTGACTGCAAACAACATGACTTTAATTTGCTTCATAGATGAAGGCACTTCAGCCATTCTATGTAGTATATTCTAGCTCGTTGTGTGAATTCTATGTTTAACTGTTTAATCTTCAGCCCTTTTTGTGGTGCCCAGAGGAAATATTTTCGTCACGACTGCGCGGAGAAAAGGAAAAGACCGTGTAAAACGCCCGATCTCGGTCATCCAGTTTCGATACCTCAACAGTAGTAGAAATGAACGTGCCTTCTCCATCCATTTTCTGTTCAGGAAAGTGATGAAAAAAGTCTGTCTAAAATGTGCTTGAGAACTAGAAATCTAAACACACAATAAAGTTGTGACATGTTTCATTATTTTTAATTTTTCAAGTTTATAAGTAGTCCTAAGTACAAGGTACCTAATAAAACTTATGTTTTATTAAATAAATTCTACTCCGATAAAACTATAAGAATTGTAACATTTGCTTAACGTTTCGTAGAAAACTAAACTTTCACACGTTAGAAATTTTACATGAAATTAATTCAGTTAAATTTAATTTTTGAGAATAAACATGATATGCTCAGAAACAAGTTACAAATAAAAGTGACAATTATGCCATCCTCTCATGCAAAAAATACTATTTTTTTCGTGTTTTTTTTTCACACTACTTTTAGCCCGCGATACAGTGTGGCACAAATATATATTTAATCTTTGAATTTGGAGTTAAATTTATGTTGTATTGGTTTCTTAATATTATATACCATTCCACATTCTTAACAAAAGTATCATTCATTTTTTCAAGACACATCACTTCATGCATTTCATACAACACAAATTCTTTACGAGTCCCTCATATACAGTTACCATCAATTTTAGTAACATAACAATGTTCTCTTTTTGTTCTTCACAAAATAAACATCTATAAATATTCTCCGCAAAAATAATATTCTCTGAGAATTTCCAGATGAACACCTATATCAAGTGATGAGCATGTAGGGGAAAAACCAGGGGGTAAGTGGAGTCCTATTTACGTTTATTAAACAGTGTTTATGAAAATAAGAACTCTTTGAACTTTGTGCTACATTTTTGGAAGTTAATCTCTTCTGGGATGGTTAGAAACAAGCAGAACTCGAATTGCATGTAAAATTAAATTACGCTCCAATTGACCCGTCATGACGTACTGGCCTCTCGAATTGGGATACAGAATGTGTTTGTTTGTTTTTTCACTTTTAAAACAATGATTTATAAAGCGGGGAATGTTTTCATGAGTAATTTATTTGTAATGGTGCATCAATAAATTTGCGTTTTCTTCTTCTTTAGTCTAAAAATATTACCACTGAATGTAAATTGCATGGTTTGTAATCATTACCAGATTTTCCATCGTTCTCTAGAACAAATCTAAGGCATAGCTCTATTAAGGGAATTGATTAATTTCCATAAATGGATCTGTACAATAAATCGCCTTCATTTATACTTGGTCCATCACTTCGAATTTTTCAGAAATCCTTTATGAAACTTTATTCAGAGTTTCTGCTTTGACACATTTTTGGCCGAAGAATTGTTTCCAACATACTTTTTCGAAATATTTCTACTTTTTAAACTGAAACTTACAATGGCTTTCGCAAGTGTAATGTGACATTTTTTCAGAGGCGCTAAATGCAATAAACAAAACATTAAATAATTACATTTTATTTTTAGTAAAAATGTCAATAGATACACTTTGAAAAACAATAATATATGTAAAAATCAATTATTACTTTGGTGAATACAAATAAGCTGCATTAAATGATGAGTAGGAAAGATTAGTGTGAACATTTTGATTGAACAAACAGCTTAATGAAAATAGTAATACTGAATGAAAAAATGCTCAATCAACCATGAAAAGACAGAATAAAATTAACATAGGAAAAAGAAGGTTGTTATGCGTGAAGAATCTCGTTGAACTTTCCGTGTTCGTCTAATGCCCGAGGATACAAGATGGGAGATGTGTCGAACCGAACATGCTTTAGCATGTTTTTAGGTGAAACACAAGAAACATTGGATTTACTACTATTGGACTTGATACAGGGTCCTGGTGGAAGAGTTGTATGAGAACTTTTTGAAATAGGTTTATTTCCAATAGCAGTATGAGGAACCTTTAAAATAGACTTTTGTGCTTTGACCAGTGATGGAAAGCGTACTCCACTTTCAGACAGCTTTTCAACGTCATGAGATGCATCTTCGGGACCCAAAAAGGGATGACTAACTGGACCAAACTTCTTTTTATTGGGAATATTGTACGCATTTGGAGACTTCTCTGTAAAATTTACTTCAAATGTTTTTTCAATAATGACGTGATTTGCGTCACTTTGATTCAGATTTTCATTTTGAACTCGTATAATACTGCCTTTGCCATGGAAATTTGATGTTTTCATACCCTTCGTGGTTCTTTTTGGGACCATGTCAATGGAGGATGGACTTGTGTCACCACGATCAAGATTGCTGTTCTCTACTAGCCGAAAAATATTGGGAATTCTTGCTTTCAAGCTTTGCCTCACAAACCTCCTTGTAAACGGGAGCTTTCCTTTGTAGTTAGTGTCTGCACCAGCTGACACGAATTTCGTGCAAGGAACATCGACTTCTAAATTGTCAACACCTGCTCGATGAAAACAATTATTGGCATTGGACTTTACTTTCGAATTTTTATTAGAAATACCCTTTGGAATCGTGGACTTGGTTTCGTTGATTGCGTTAACACCATTTGATTCAGTTTTCGAGCGAGGTGGAATGACTGTGCCTGAACTGGAATCATCGTCTCTGGAGGGCCTACGTTTAGCTTGAGGATCGGGAATTTTTGATGTATTTCTGGCCGGGAATTGCTTTTCGTTACCGGCATTAATGTCAGGTTTTGTGAATGGCAACGAAGAAGCGTTATTACATTTTCGCGCATCTTGGTTCAAATATCGAGGACGGTGTATCCTCATGCACGATCTCTTTACTTTCTTCTCGTCCTTGAGGAGTTCTTTCATTCTTTTCTCTTCCGCTTGACGTTGGCGAATTTTTGCTCGTTCCAAGGTGGCTCTGCCTGGAATAAAACCTTTACGTCTGGAGTTGGAAAGAACCAGATGCTCCAAAAAGTTTATTCCATTTTTAGAACCTTCGGAACTTCCATCGTCACTATTCCTATTCCTATTTCCCAGCTGATCCTTTGAAGATTCATCCGAAGTCGCCGGTGACACAGCGTTTGATTCCTCACTTTTCTCTGTTTTATCCGATTGATAACCATCTGAATCTTCAAGTGCACTTCGTTTCATATTTTCTTCCAATTTCAAAAACTTCATCTCCAGTTCTTTCTCCTCATCTTCGAGATCTTCGCGGATATGACGTACGGTGATTTGCAATTTCTCGGAGGAAACGATCTTCTTGTCTAACCTACATTGCAAAACAAACGGATTAGAGGGAACGCCAGGAAAAGATATATAATATTTTTTCTTGTGATACCTAGGATTTGGGGGTTAACCAACTTATATCAATATCAATTTTCATAAAATCACATTTATACTTTATTTAAAGACACTTCAAGCTGACTTGTTTTGTCGTTACGTTCAAGGACAAAGCATCCTTTACTGTCTTCTGTAAATTATTTATTAGGATTCATCTTTCAAATTGTTGGAAAACAAAAACAGGAAATAGCAATTTATAATCAACAAATGAAAACGTTTCGCCCTAAAGGTGACAATGTTACCGAAAAGGGAAAATTGCACGAGTGAGTAATTATGGTAAAAGTTAGATATAATCACGATGGCCTAAAATTCACAAGACACCTATATAACCCGCGAGTAAATTGCATAACTTTTTACAAATCTCCAATTGTTTCATTTGTTTATAATTTGAAAATTTTACTAGTATAAACAAAGAAACAAACAGATGAAATGGGTGAGAGCTCCTTGACAATAGATGTTTACAAGGCTGCCATGATAAAAATTTATGTTCCAATTATTGTTATAAAAAGTGAGGAAATAGTGGTCAAAATATGTTATCAGAGAAATCGAGAGTGAAATAAAACCAGAAGCGCTCTTTGTAATTCAAAGAGTCAACAACGATTTCAAGTAATCTGTATTAAAAGAAGTTCACTGTCGTTCTTCAGTGGTTTTAGGAAGATCTTAACCATTACGGAACAAGTATTCCATGGTAAGGAATACTTCAAAAATAATTTGAAAAAAGGAAATTTTAATGCAAGTTCGTAATATAGTTCGTAATATAGTAGTTATATTTTTATATAAATTGTTAAATAACGCAATTAAGCATCAGCAATGTAATTTACTATGTCAACGTCAGTGGTCAGTATAATCAATTTAGATAGAATTGGATAAGTACGTATTCACGGTTACGTAAATGTCAATTTTTACTGTTATAGTTCTGAACAATTCTGAATTCAAATAAGATAAATCCTATATAATGTTTATTTTCATAAAACAGCATATTTATGTACGTTTAATTACTCGGTAAATCGTCTTTCATTATTTTCATAAAGTCGATGTTTAATTTTTTTAATTCCAACAGAATAAATATCTTGTTTATGTTGCCAATTTCAGCACAAGAAACGTTATTTTACATATTAAACATGAATAAATCATTAAAAACCTGCCTTACTAAATATATTAATAGAAGAAGACTGGATAATCATTTTACTCATGAATCGAAATTTATTTCACTCTCTAGAATTGTCAGCGACATAATTATTCTTACATTAAATAGCTAATTATTTTTATTGGGTAATAACATCTTGTTTTACGATCTGAATTTTTAAATAAGTAACTGGAAAATGTGGTAAAGAAAATATGTTGTTCTCAGGTAGTACCTTGAAATGACAGTAATTAATTTTCATTGGTAAAAGACATTTACATTTATAGATAAAATCTCGTTTTACTCTGTAAAACGTTAAACAGGCACTTAAGTTACTTTCGTGAATAAAGTCTTAATTTATTCTTTGGAACGTTAAATAGGTAGTTAATTTACGTTCGTGAGTAAAATTGTGGCATATTAAACAGGTAATTAATTATCACTCGTGAATAAACCCTCCGATATCACACGCCAGTGTTACCAACCTCTTCTCCTCCTCGTGGCTCGCGGGCGGGACGGTGTAGGTGTCGGCCAGGCGGCACGGGAAGCAGCCGGTGAGGTCGTCCCACGTCCACACGTGCAGCCCGCACGCCCTCCGCACGGCCTCCTTGTAGCGGCGCAGGCGCTGCTGGTAGCTCTGCTCCGAGTAGATGAGCGACACCTCGTCCGCCGTCAGCTCCACCAGCGGGCGGTAGACGCGCGGCTCCGCGTTCGAAGCTGCTCAGGAGCGGAACCAGCCGATCATTTTGGAGGGGCCCATCATAGATTTTCGTTAAATAATAAACAGTTGTTATTACGTAGTATATTATTTTGGTAGCGTACGTATGGTACTATACAATATTATTTTTTTAAAATAATTATATAATTGTAACCCAAATACATTTTTAAATAACTTTTGCCAAATAAAAGAAGGAAACGAAAACTCTAGGCTCTGCTCCTATGCCACCCTGGATCCACCGCTGGTCACAGAGTGCGTTTGCTGATTATTTTTGTGGCGTGTCTCATAATAAATGTTACACATTTCAAACGCTTCTAGAGGCATCGAAAACGAAAACATCTAACCTTGAACCTAGAAAAACGACCTCCCGTTCAGTCACAAAGCCGCAGCAACACTTGTCACCCTAATCCACTTAGCGCTTGAAGACGTGAACGGCAATGCCCAGCAGCTGAAGAACAGATGACAGGAAGGATGACTAGATTGAGAGAATTTCCCCCACCCCTCTCGAGAAAGAAGAGCTCACACGTGCTGACCAATATAGGTAAACACTTATATTCCGGTATATAGTTGTAAATAATCGAATTATGCATTTATAGCACATAGATCACATGTACTACCTAGTTACGTTCATGAACTCTTATACATTTTCTTAAACTGTTAATAGACTGGCTATATAGATGTTTATGAAATACGTAACACATAATAAATGGAAGTTTGCGGTTAAGAAGATAGCTATATTGATGTATTTTTCTCAAAAAAGTATAATTTGTGTATTAGGCTAATACAGTATTTTCTTTTGCGTATTGTCAATGTAGTTAGTTCAAATTAGCGTCTCTTAATCGACCTAAGGAGTGGATAAAGAAGGCGGGGCCTAGCTCTATAAAGGGCGCAGCTCTTGCCACGCAATGGCATTAGTCTGTAATCTTAGTTGATTACCGATTCCGGGCGAGTTAACTGCTAAGGTCATTAGTCACGTAAGTTTAGTCCACGTTTTATCACGGTAGCTGGCGGTGGTTATCCCCCGTTGTAAGGTGAGATTCGACGCCGACCAAACGACAGCTGGCGTGGATTTTCCGAACCAGGTATCTCCTTCTAGCGGGGCACCGCCCCCGCCTGTACAGGCTCCAAGCCCCCGACCGGTCTCTTGGTGTGGTAGTGTAGTGCATGTTAGTGTCGGTGTGTGTGTAAGTAAGGGGTGAGGATAGGACAAGGAAGGGGAAGGTATGATAGCGCACGGAGCCCGTTTGTTACCCGTTTGTTAGGGTACTGCTCCGGCGTTCGTATGGAATTGATTGGAGAAACCAAGGAAGGTAGCCGGTCGCTAGACTTGTCCCCCTGACAGCTAGTGTTGAAAATCCTGCCACAGTCAAACCCTAGGACCTCCCGGTCAAAGGCACTGCAATGGCATCAGTTGATCCCCTGAGCCACCTCTCCTGGAATGGAAGCTTTCGAAACACAAGGAAATCACACTATGCTGACACGTCCGATATGGTGTTATGATGTGGTCGTGTTTTTTCTGGAGAAGGATTGCACCTCTTGTTGTTGTTGTTGTTGTTGTTGTTTTTTTTTTTTTTTTTTTGTGTCACACTATCACGGCATAAGCCTACGTTGAACACCTTCTTGCTTCCCACTGTTGAAGAGAAATCCGTGGAGGGCGATTGCATCTTTCAACACAATCGAGCACCAGTTCATACTGCACGGCTTGTGTCGGAGTGGTTAAACGACAATAACATACCTGTAATGGACTAGCTAGCACAGAGTCTTGACTGGAATCCCATCGAACACCTTTGGGATGTTTTGGAACACCGACTCTGTGCCAGGCCTCACCGACATACATCTATACCTCACCTAAGAGCAGTACTCTGTGAAGAATGGGCTGCCATTCTCCAAGAAACCTTCCAGGACCTGATTGAAAGTATGCCTGCCAGAGTGGAAGCTGTCATCAAGCCTAACGGTGGGCCATCACTCTACTGAATTCCAGCATTGCCGATGGAGAGCTGCACGAACCGATAAGTCATTTTCAGCCAAATGTCCGGATCCTTTCGATATCTTAGTGTAATATACGTTATCCGGCAGGCTAGTTCCGCCGCAACGTACGCGTGTATTCCCCGCGCGCGTGGCCCCACAGCCTGGGGCCTCTCT